GGAGGGGGGGCGGGCCAGATCCCCTCTAATGTGTTCAAAAGCAAACAAAAGAGACAACAAAACACTTTTTTAAGTTTTAAAAATGCAAAAAATGATTTAAAAAAACCCTTTTCGTTTCTACCAACCTGTTTGTTAACTGATCCAAAACAAAGGGGGGGGGTAAATAAAAAAGATAAAAAAAAAACACAACCAAACCCACCCCGATTCAGCCCACCTTGTTTCACGTCCCCGGTTCTGAACATTCCTACAGTGAGACTATGTTCCGTCCGCGTACGAGCGTGTGTGTCCCGGGTCCTGTGGCCCCGGGGTCGCCCGCTGAGTGCGTGCTGGCTGGCGTGCGCTAGTGTGCGCAACGTCTAGTTCATGTTTACGAGCTGTAAATACCATTTTTATACTCCACACGAGAGACCCTATGTGATTTGTACGACGGGCTTTATTTCTGCTACGACGAATTTCGTGAAATTTCAACTTCAAACAATTTTGGAGACAAGCAGAGAGAGGACGGGACTGTGGGGGTGGAGAGGGAACGTGGGCTTCAGTCCCCGCCTCCTGTTCTTGTGAGGAGGAGCGAGCATCTCAATGGCAAATCACCTCTCTTTGGTCTGGAAAAGAAAAAAAAACTAAAAGTTTATTTAATAAAAGTTTTACTTGTTAACAGCGACTCTCTCTCCCCGTGTTTTCCCATGCGTGGTGCTTCCTTGTTTGGGGTTGAGTAATATTTCAGTGTGTGAATACAGAATTTTTTTTTCTGAGCTGGTCGTGGTGGCGGTAGGTACTTAACCCCAGCAATAAGGGGACACCACCCGGGAGGGGGGACGGACTCGGGAGGCAGAGGCAGGTGATCTCCGAGTTCCAGGTCAGCTACAGAGTCAGTTCCAGGACAGCCAGGGTTACACAGAGAAACTCTGTTTAGAACACCCTCGCCCCCCCCCCCAAGAAAATTTCTTCCTCTTTATCCTTTCCTGGGCAGTTTGTTTGTCATTTGGAATTGTGGCTCAAACATCTGTGGATATTCACCAGAAAGTTTCCTTGTGGAATTGATTCAGGTTTCATCTTGGTGATGGAGCCTTGTCTCAGAGATGTAAAACTGGGTCCTGCATAGAATACCCCAGTGAGGGGCTGGGGCGTGGCCAGAGCGGAGCCCCGCCCAGAATACCCAGTGAGGGGCTGGGGGCGTGGTCAGGTTGCAGCCCTGCCTAGAATACCCCGGGGAGGGGCTGGGGAGTGGCTTTGCTGGTAGAGTCAGGCAAGACTGCTTCTGATCCTCTGTGAACCATCTCTGTGCTCACTCCATCTTCTTCTGGACACCCGGAGTTCGAATTCAGATAAGAATCCCTCTTGGCTACTGATCGATGCTCAGCAGCTGGAGATCATGAGACTCTTTGCACCCTGTGAAAAAAGCTGATTCCTGTGGCTGTGCCAGAGCTGCGTATCTGGGCAGATTGCTGGAGCATATATTGAGTGCCTCTTGTGTGCAGCGCACTGGTCTGGACCCGCTTGTGGAGGTCGTGTTAAAGCAAAAAATAATTATGTCAAAAAAAATAGAGGTTTTCTTCCCTAAAATTGCAAAATCAACGCCTCCTCGGCCCACTTTTCCAGCCCCTTTCTCCTAGACCGCCTGGTTTCTACCCGAGGGTGTCCAGAATGGGCCTGCGCAGGCTCTACTCAGCCTTCATCCATGGAAATGGTGTCATCAGGCCAAAGTAAACGTCACCTGGGGGAGACTGGGGCAGGAGGATGGCGGGAAGCAGACCAGCCTGAGCAACACCGTGAGATTCGGTCTGGAAAAAGAAAAAATGAAACCGGGTGGTGGTGGCGCAGCCTTTAATCCCAGCACTCGGGAGGCAGAGGCAGGGGGGGCTCTGTGCGGTCCAGA